ATAGAAGAAAAGAGATCTCTTGATGAACATTTCTTAACAGAGCAGATGGAAATCGCCCATGCCATTTCTTTCAACTAAACAACAGCCCTGCCAACATACTCCCTAAAGGTGGTTCCTTTACTTACCTGATTATATTTTTCCTACCTTTGAATTTTCTGAAAAACTCCTCTCCTCCTTGTGAAAAATAGGGACAGTCTATTAAATTGGCCTGCTTTTAGTAACTGGCAGTATTTTTAGAGTTTAGTCTTCTATAAAAGATAGCTAATGCATGTGTGTATATGTGAGGTGCTCAGTATTAAAATAATTACAGCTTGACCAGCACCTAACTACCACCCAAATCAATACACAGAACACTGGCCGGACCCAGAGTCTTCCAGCTGGCCCTCTGTGATCAGACCTTCATTTATAAAATGCATCCATGTTGTTGTCTATAGCTGGAGTTTATTTTCATTGCTGTACAGTATTCCAGGGTGAGGGAAAACATTCCACAATTTACTAATCCATTAAAATATTTACAGGCTCTTTTCCAAGGCATCTTTTTTCCCCATTGCCTATTAGAAGTTTCCCTATTTCCAAATACACAGCAGGACATTTGCAGCAAACACTACCCCCAAACATAACTCCAAAACACCTCCCTGCTCTCATGTGCCTACTATTCTCTATCAACCCAGGGGCATTTGTATCCATTGCATATTGGTTGAAATATTAGGTACAACTTCAAGTTGTTATTCTTTTGTTCATTTTATTCAGAAGAGTTAGAATGTCTTGGACCATGTGCTAAAGCTGCCAGATCATTCCTGTCCATCAAGGTCTGGTTCAAGCATCTCTCTTTATGAAGATACCCCAGAACCTCGTCCATTTGCAAAGCCATGGCTCCCCACAAATTGCAACAAAATGAATCATCCTTCCTCTGGCTTCAGGCAGCCTGGAGTTACTCATTTCTATAACTGTCTTAATTTTTGTCCTTTTGGTGTAAGCTCTAAAATCTTGCAGGTTTGGGGCATGTAATAAATGAAGAGCTTTTGGACTCAAATTCAAAATTTAAAAGCTACAGCTGGTACCAGTACCAGGTACTAAATTGTTTGTGTTTTTTTTTAAAGTTAATTCTCACCAAAAAGAAACAGTTCCTATCAAAGTAAAAGAAAACATCACTATTGCTTAAGACAAGATTTGTGTGCCTCCTACTTGTTCTGTTGAGTTTTTCATAGACAATACAGTACTTCAGCATTCCTCAGACATAGAATATTAGAGGGCCACCTAGGTTAAGATCATGTAAGAAACATACTATTTAAATAAAGCTTTACGTCCTTGGAAGCATTCACAAAGAAGTAACAAAAATAAAAAAAAACTACCCAATTTTATCTTTTATGGACCAATTACTCAAATGACACAGTCTGCCAATACTCACACAACAAATTAAATCAACAGTAAATATTCTTAATGAGGACTTAAGATGGACTCTATTAGCAAGGATACAGTACTATTTGTGTGTGTCAAGCCTTTCTTCCCTTCCCAACCCACCATCCCTTGCGTCCCCTTGTCCCTTTGCCTCCTCTTCCCTCTTAACCTCAGAACCCTCAAGATGTTTACTGATGTCCACTGGCTTCTAAAAGTGTTTCACATTATCAACTTCTCTGCTATGTAAATGTCCAGTATTTGTTTTTATCATTCTAACTTTGCCGCACAGAATTTTCTCAAATTTCATCATGTTGAAAATGGATGGCCTTCATCCTTTTTCGAGGCTATATAGTACTCCATGATGTGGCTATACCACATCTTCTTGATCCAATCGTCCAGTATTGGACATTTAGGCTGCTTCTATGGCCTAGCTATTGTAAATAATATTTCTGTGAGCAATGTGGAACATAGGTGCCTTTGTGTTGATGGTTTCATATTCTTTGGATGCCTAAGAGTGGAGTTGCTGGGTCAAATGATATTTCCATTTTTAGTTGTTTAAGGTAAACCCAGTTTGGTTTCCATAATGGTTGCACTGGTTGACATTCTTACCAAGAGAGGACTAGGGTTCCCTTTTCCCTGTATCCTTTCTAACACTTATTTTTTTGGGGTCTTTTTAATATGTGCCATTTTCATGGGTATGAGGTGATATCTCACCATAGTTTTAATCTGCATCTCTATTATTATTATGAACACTTTTTCATGTGTTTTTGGCCTTCTGAATATCCTCTTGAGTGAACCGTGTGTTCACATCTCTGCCCACTTATTAGTTGGATTATTTTTTTAATTGTTGAATTATTAAAGTTTTTATGTATCTTGGGCCTCCCCGGTGGCGCAGCAGTTGAGCGCTGGGTTGCGAAGCTGCCCGCAACCTCTGTAGTGCCGGTTCGATTCCCAGCTGCTCCCCGGCCACCGGAGGAGGGTCCCGCATGGCGCGCAGACCTCTCCTGCCGCCCGCTGCTCCCCTCAGCAGTGTACTTCGGTCCTTCTGCCTGCTCTGCTCCCTGCTCTGGCTCTGGTGAATTCTCTCACCCTCCCATGCTTCTGACTGTACCCAGTGCTTGTATAAATAAATAAATAAATAAATCTTTAAAAAAAAAAAAGTTTTTATATATCTTGAATATTAATTTCTTATCAGTTAAATATTGTGTAAATATTCCATTCAATAGGTGTCTAATTATTTTGCATTTTCTTTTGCTCCAGAGAAGCTTTTTAATGAGTTAATCATCAGTGAAAACTGCCCCAATTTTAATAAAATTAACAAATAGGGCAGGATTGTTATCTTTCTGGCAAAGAAAACATATGTGTGGAATGTGGAACTGCAAACAGGAGAAGAAATAAAACAGAAAGCTAACCTGGATTGAAGGCCCAGCCATTGTTTGCCTCTCCATCAGACTCATTACAAAAATAATAATAATGGAAGACATCACTCCTGAATAATACACAATGTGCCTTTCAACTATCTCAGGAAAAAATCATTCTTGTCAGTGGATGCTACCACCAATTCAACACAGAAAAAAAGTCTACAATTCATTTTGCAGAAATTTCATTAAAGCTCTTAATATAAAAAGAGCTCCTAGAAATCAACAAAAAGACCAATGGCTCAACGTAAAAACAAATGAACAAAGGCTATTTATAGGCAGATATTGCAAAGAAAAGGTAATTATAATGGCTCTTGAACATAAGAAAACATGTTCAAGCTCAGAGAAATGCAAATTAAACCATATCGGAATACCTACTTAACCTATCAGACTCGTAGGATGAAAAAGTTTGATAAAATGCTGTTGGCAAGGGTACAAACAGGCCATCACACTCACTGCTGGCAGAAGCATAAATTAGCAAAGCCTTAAAGAAATGTAGTAACATAGTGATATCCCTCGAAACTAAGTGCACCTCCCCTGACTCAGAATTCCACTTCTGAGGATTTATCCTACAGAAATACTTGCCTATACGACTAGTACTCCACACATAAGGACCTTGTTTATATAACTGAACTAGCAAAACTTGGAAACACATTGTCCATCCATAGGAAATAGATTAAATAATTTGTGACAACCTTACAATAGAATTCTAAGCAGCTGAAAAAGAGCAAGGAAATGATGGCCCAGATACAGAAGAACAGGAGGATACGCCACAATTTGCAGGGAATATCATGTGTTTGCTGAAAAATTCACTGTGCTGAAAAGATACACAGGAAACTAGTGACACTGGTTGTCCCTGGAAGGAAACTGAGTAGCCAGCAGAACCCTGGGAAAGAGTTCAAAATGTTTATCCTTTTGTACCTTTAAACTTTTGAACTGTGAGGCTATATTAGTTATTTTTTAAATAAATAAAATTCAAAGAGGGAAAATTCCCCTCATTGATAAAATGAGTGGAAAGCAGCCCTATCGCTGCTGGACTAGCCCAATCTAGGATACAACAACATATCCTCCTTATTTGAGTCTCAGGTGACTGCATAGCAGGACAGAAAAAAAATGGGAAAACTCTAGAAATACAGTGAAGAGACACAAAGTAAAGTTAACTTTACATGCAGGGACCTTGATAAGAAATGGCTCATTTTAAGAGAAAACCAGGACTGGCACAGATCTTCGGAACAATCTGAGTCGCTTCACTTGATCCTAGAAAATGGGAGGCTGTGTAAGGTTTGTGTTTATTTCGTGACTTGAAGTTAAGAAACCTGCGTCTGGTAACAAGGTCTGTCTGGCCCAAGTTCTGCTTAGCGGGCACCGCGCGCTCATGTTTGTTGTGAGGACAAAGGCAGCTTCTCTCCACCCTCCACCAGACACACAGCACGTGTGTCAGGCCCCGGCCAGACCCTTCCTCCGTCCTCACCGGTAACTGACCATCCCGGGAGACAAACCTGTTGATCAATCAGGGGCTTTTCAGAGAACATTCTTGAGCACTCGCTCTGCTTCACCAAAGGCAGGACTGCGCGCTCCTGCGCGCTCCTGCAGGGCGGCGGCGGGGTGAGCCCCATCCACCTGTTTGCTTCCTGTTGTCTCATCAGGGAATAAAGACAATCAACCCAACCCTCCGGGGAACGGAACAGCGAATCATACAGTGCCCCTCTCCGGCGGCTGGTGCAGGCGGCGCAGTCTGGAGCGCGCCCCTGCGCTGGTCCAGCTGTGCCCGCTGGGGGTGCCTGAACCAATACAAGTTCCAGCTCGTTTGCTCGGGCAGGCTTCGAGCTCGTAGGTCTGGACCTGCGAGTTTTTCAAAGCCAAGGCCGAAGTTGCCCGGCACGCCGGTCACACCTGTGGGCACAGGTGCGCGCGGGGCAGCCGACCCCCCGGCCGCCGGCCGGGCTCCCCACCGCGCGGTGCCAGCGCCCGCCCGGCAGCGCGCCCGGAGGAAAGTTGGAGCGAGCGTGCGCCTACCTGTGCGGGCCAGGGGGCCGACACCGCGGCGCGCACCTGACCGCGCTTCCTCCGCCGCGGCCGGCGCGCACCCCCACCCTGGCCCCGCGCGCCCTCCGCCCGCCCCGGGCGCCCCAAGGTCACCGGCCCTGCGGGCGCGCCCCCACCCCGGCCCCGCCCGGCGCTCACCAGAACAGCAGGTTGGCGGCGAGGAAGCCGAGCAGGCTGCGCAGCGGCCTCTTCCAGCTCAGGAGCTCGTCGGCGCGGCCGCCCAGCCACAGCCCGGGCTCCCCCAGCAGCCAGGTCACGGCGGCGGCCACCCCGGCGGCGGCCTCCCGCCCCGGCCGCCCCGCGCCCGCGCCCGCCCCCGGCTCGGGCGCGCCCTCCGGCTGCTCCGGGGGCTCGCGGGGCGGCGGCGCCTGCTCGCCGGCCGCGGGCGCCGGGCATCCTCCCTGCGCGGGCCGGGCGGGCGCGGGGCTCGCCATCTTCAGCGGCGCTGCCAGCGGCCGGGCGCGCGCGGGCGGGCGGGCGCGCCTGGAGTCGGCGCCGAGCGGGCGGCGGGGACCGGCGCGGGGCGCGCACCGCGGGGCGCCGGCGGCTGGGTGCCTTGTGACGTCAGCCGGGGCCGGGGCGCGGCGGGGGCGCCTCCCCCGGGAAGTGGGTGCGGCCGGGTGCGCGCCGGGGCGGGGCGGTCTCCCCGGAGCGCGCCGGCCCCCGAGGGCCTCGCCGGGACCCTCCCCTGCGCGGGCAGGGCGCGCGGGCACCGCCGCCGGGCGGGCGCGGGCGCGATCGGGGCGCGTCTGCACTTTCTGCCGCCGCGGCCGCCGCTCGCCCGGCCCGCAGCCCCGGCGGGCGTTGGGGGGCGCCCTGCCCGGGCCGCGGATTCCCGTCCCCCGCCCCGGCCCGGCCGCGGCTGCAGCGCCCCGGGCCGAGCGCGAGGAGAAGCTGCGGGCACAGGAGCCAGTTGGGGCCAACTAGGGACCAATGGGCTTCCCAAGGAGGGAGCGCCAGGCCGCGGCGTTGGGGGGAGACGCCCCCTCCACCGGCGGGCGGAGGCTCCTGGCTCCAGAATGCACGTAGATCTGTGCAAGATTTAGGGGAGCAGGTGAGCGCGGAGCCGAGAAGCCAGGACCCCGGGAAGGTCGGACGCTGGGCTGGTGGCCACCGGGGCTGGCGAGCCTTGCGCCGCGAGGCCTCGAGGCATCCTGGTCTCCCACTCACAGCAGAGGTTAATGGGGGTACGGCCCGGGGAGGGGGTGGGGGCTGACCTCATCCGTCCCCCAGGGGCCTCGCTGGCCCAGATGCTCCCTGGCCAGTGCGGGGCGGGAGGAAGCGTCATCCTGCTCGCTTCTCTCAGTTTGCGTTTTTTAAATGTTCTATCCTTTAATTCCCCTTATGCGCCCCCCCACCCCCAATGCCCTCTCTCATCCTGAGCGGACTACCGGCCCCCCATGACTGCACGGATGAAGCAGGACGTCTTTGCCCACTCCTGGCAAGCGGCTTACCTCCACCGGACAGAGGGGTTCAGTCCCAGAGCAGTTAAAGCCCCGGTGCCTTCAGGGAGTCTCGAGGAGCTCTGTCGTCTCATCTGGATCAACATGTTGTGTATTTATAACTCTGCTGTACCCCTATAAAATCCCTTGATCTGTACGCTTAAATATGTGCATTTTGTGTATTTATTCCTCAGGGGGTCTTTTCCTAGAGTTGGCTGGAAGGTTACTGAGCACCTGCTGAGTACCCACCTACCCACCCAAGGCTAAACTGTGGATTGGTGCACCCCCCAAAAAAAAACAAAAGCAAACAGGCCAAGGAGGGACAAATTACAATGGTGAGGGCATCACCACCAACATCCAAAATTAGGGAAGAAGTGGGGCAGTCTGGTTTTGGGTCTTTTTGGACTGGATGGCATCTGCCCTGAATGGTAAGAAGAGCAGGTACAGGTTGGGGAGGGCAGTCCCCTCTGTTGGGAGCCGCTGTGGTCCCTGATGTGAATTTGCACCAGATGACCGTGACTTGAATGAGCTACCTGTGACAGCCTTTGGGTCATGTTGTTACTGTTTTTTATGTTGACATGCGTGTTTTCACGGAGGGTACCCTGGCATAGCACTGCGCACGTTTCAGGCACACACTCCTGCTTTGTCCTTGGATATCTGTATGCACCACGTGGTGAACACCACCCAAAGCTGATTGTCCGGAAGTTTGGTTGTCCCCTGATGGGGACTCAGGGTCTCCGTGTAAGGAAACTCCTTCTGCAACTGGATTCACAGTGGCCGGGGAGGCAATGAAAAGGCAACGTGGAAACAATCTGGGTATTCTGTTCCCACAAAAAGGAAGACTTTTCCCAGGTGTTGTTCCTCCAGCTTGAGCCTCCAGCAGGAGCTTCTGGAAGGTCCACGATGCTTTCTCGTGTAAACTGGCCTGTGGTTGGCACTGGCTACAGCCCAGGGCAGGTGATGCACTCGGGCAGGTGGGAGAAGGCCGGGCACAGGCCAGAGCAAGCAAGCTGCCCCGTCTCCATGCCGGCGTGGATGAGCTTGTGGCAACACGTTGGCAGGACACTGCACATCCACCTTCTCCCTTGAATGCTAATTAATGCTTTCAGGATCTGTTGGTAAAAGTGGCTGACAACCAAGCCCCAGAAAAGCCAGCTCCAGTTGCTGAGCGCCTCACACCCCTCACTATATCCATGTATTGCTAAAGCGCCCTGCCCCCGGCCAAGTGGAGACCTTTCTCTCAGTTGCTATGGGAAAAAAGCTACACAAAACTGTGTGGGGCACACAAAACTGGTCTGATGCTCCGATCCGCCTTTTCCACCCTTGACCCCTAATAATTATGGACTAACTGTGGAGCAGCAGAAGACGCTGGCCTGGACCCACGAAAAGGTGCTGTGGGATGTGTTCTTTGTCTAGATGTCTCTGTGGTGCTGGAGTAATTTGTTCAGTGCTAGGACTATCAATAATGGTACTGAGGATTGGGATACATCTTCTCCCCTAATTTCAAGAACCTGGGGCCTCCCTAGTGGTGCAAGGGATTAAGACGCAGCACTATGAAGCTCTCCGCATTCACTGCTGCACGAGTTCGATCCCCTGCTGGCCAGGGAGCTACCCACATGGAGCAGCAGACCTCTCCTATCTCGCCCACTGCTCCCCTCAGCAGTGCATTTCGTCAGTCTGCCTGTTCTGTTCCCCACTCTGTCTCTGGTGAATCCTCTCACCCTCCCCCGCCATCTAGCCTGTACCCCAGTTCTTGTATAAATAAATAAATCAATCTTTTTTTAAAAAAAAAAAAAAGACTATTTAGAAAGTAACAGGGCTACAAAGCCCTAACATAAACATAAGGGACTCTTCAAAGAGGCCACTTGCCCACTTGCCTTTCTCTTCCAAAAGTAGCTAGAAAACTAGTAATAGGAGAGAGAGAATGAATAATTAATTCTCGCTAGGGAGGCCTCAGAGGCAAGATCAAACTAAGTCACACAATGAGAAGAAAATGCCCTGTGGGGTTTTCCCTGCAATATTTCATGTTAGAATCCGGCCTTAGGCCCATGCATGACTCCTTAGGGGAAGGGGTGGTGGGTGGAGTGTGTTGTATTAATTACTAGCCCTGCAGATAGAGTGTTTTGTGCTGGTCATTTTACTACAGCAGTGCTACCCACCTGTGCTAAATCAGATTTACTGCACAGAGCTAAGGGTGTGCTGAGAATTTTGGAGAATTTGAGGATCAGTTACCAAGTTCAGACGTTGTCCTGTGAGCAGAAGAGAGTTCCTCAAATTGTGGGTTTCTTTATTGTTGTTCCCAGGGAGTCCTAGACTCAAAACTCCCCAACTCCTGGGGTCTCAGGAATTTCAGTTTGTCTTTGTCTTACATCTCAAAGCAAAACTCTGGTGTGGTTGTCTGGAAATTCGTGTCTCCAAATCAGGGCCCCATCTCCAGGGATCTCTCTCAAAATTAGACTCATGGACTATAAAGGAATAGCTAAGAGTTACATCTGCAGACTCCCCCAAGGTGGCGGTGGCCTGTCACCTGTTACTTACTTTAGTTCATTAGAAATCAGATGGGCCTTCCCTGGTGTCACAGGGTTAAGTCTCAGTGTTATCAAGCTATCGCCAGCCACTGGGGCCTGAGTTCGATCCCCGGCCAGGGAGCTGACCCACAGGGCACAGCAGACCTCTCCTGTCTTGCTCCCCTCAGCAGTGAATTTCAGTAGATCTACCTGTTCTGCTCCCCACTCTGTCTCTGGTGAATCCTCTCACCCCCTGCGCTTCTGGTCCACACACCAATTCTTATATGCATAAATAAATGACAAAATAAATTTAAAAAAAAAGAAATCAGGCACATGATCTGGCCACCATCAAGGCTGGGATCACAATGGCAGGCCCTGTGGGAGGATGTGGTCACCAGCACCTCTTAGACCCTGCCCAGATGGGCACAGTGCGGTGCCCACTACACAACCAGAGACATGCATGGGGAGCCTTAAGCTTTGCGAGGCTTAAGTCCCTTCTGAACCAGCAGAAGAATGCGAAGATACATTTACTAGAGATTGCAGTTGAGCATTTCTGCCTTCAGGCAAGTTCATTGACAATTGATGGCTTCCTTCTCTCAATCCCACCTGCCTCTGGCTCTTGCCCCACCTCTGCCCTAGTCCGGTACTCCAATGCCACAGGCTGCTCTATCCAAGACACACACCTCGGGGGCTTGCTCTAGGCTGTCTGGACAAGAGCCTGAAGCCAGGGTCCCACAGGCTCAGTGGCTCCCCCTTCCCCAGCCAGCTCCCCAAGTGCTCCTGGGAACAGCTGCCATCCAGAACTCTGCTATTGATTTCTCCTCCCGTTGATGGTCTCTTCTAAAACGGAGGGAGGTGAAGGAGAGCTGCCGAGGGACTTCTCCAGGAGAGTCCACACCTGCGTCCCAGAGCGTGCCCTGGCCCTGGCATGCACCTCCCGTGGAGCCTGCTCCTTACCCCATTGGGCAGAGCGGGGTAGGAGGATTCCTCCCGGGCCCTGCTGGGGGGCAGGCGCAGATGGCTGAGGCCCTTCTGGCATCAGTAGCATTTACTGTAGTAACCTACAGCCCCCGAGGCAAGAAATCCTGCAGGAGGCTTTGCTCCTGGCCTCTCCTTCATCCGTCTTCGGCAGCCATATGTCAGGTTTGTCCAGGAGAGTCTGGGGTTATGCCTCCGTGTAGCATGGTTATTAATAGCACTTCCCCTTCTCTGGGGTGTCCCGGGTTGCATGATCAATTACATGGATTCCCCATCCATCTCCAATCTGTCAGTGCCACGAAGTGCTCCCAGGCCCATGTCCTTTGTCCTGCTGCCTTGAGGTCGCCGTCCCTGCTCAAGCTTCATCACCTGGTGCCCCTCTGAGCTGCAGCCCCACTGTCGTCCAATGCACCGTGTGTGCTTTTCTAAAACAGCTCTCAGCACGGAACAGCCCCTACCCAGGGCTTACAGTGATGCCCAGCCCCCTGGAGCTGCTAAACCTATTCTTGAGCTG